TCGGCTTGGTCATGAAGGTCTCCCGTACCTCCATGATTCATGGCGATGCCCCCCATTTTCTGTGGCCGTTCGCTGTTCACTACGCTGCTCACCAGCTTAACCTGTGGCCACGCTCCCAGCGGCCGCAGGTTTCGCCGACCCAACTTTGGACCGGGTCCCCCGGTAACGCGTCTGCATTCCACGTCTGGGTCTGCTCACGTTCGTGCCTCTAGCACGCACAAGCTCACTGCCCGCACTATCCCCTGTGTCTTCCTCGGTTTCCCCCTGGACTCGTCTGACTGGCTTTTCTACCACCCGCCATCTCACCGCTTCCTCCACTCTCGTGACGTCACCTTTGACGAGTCTGTCTCCTTCTACCGCCGCTTCCCTCACTGAGGTCTCCCGGTTGCCCCGCCCCTGTTCTTGGCTCCCTCTCCCCCAGTAGCCCCTGCTCCTCTCCCGCCTCGTCCTGCCCCGTCTGGTGTCTCTCACGTCACTCCCCTCCCGTCGGTTGTCCCCGTTGAGGAGTCTGCTGACTTTGGTGGTACCCCCGGCCCGTCCTTGCCGCGTCCCCCTTCCCCGGTGTCCCCGCCTCCACTGTCGCAGTCGCCGACCCCGCCGCAGCCGCCGCCGCCGTCGCCGCTGCAGTCGCCGCCGCAGCAGTCGCCGTCACTGCCGCCGCCGCTCTTGGCCCCTGGGGGTGCTGGTGTTGAGGAGGGTGTTCGTCCGGCGGCTCCTGGGGGTGCCGCTGGTGTTGAAGGGGGTTCTCGCTTTGGGGGTGTTGGTTCTGGGGGTGCTGCTGTTGAGTGTTCTGCCGACGGTCGTCCTGCCTCTTCCTGTCCGAGGGTTCCGGCCCAGCCGTCGCAGCCGCCGCAGCAGCCGTCGCCGCCGGTCTCCGCTCTCCTCCTGCTCGGCCTTCCCTCCTCGGATCGCGCGCCAGTGTCTCCCCCATCGCCTGCTGACCTTCTTGTCCACGATCCTGTGTTCCCGCCGCCTGACTCGTCTCCGGCCCGTCTTCCTCCTCGTTCCCCTCCTGTGTCCCCTCCGCTGTCCCCTGACCCTACACCTCCGTCTCACGTTTGGTCCCGCCGTCCCTCCCGTGCTCGTCCCGTCTCTCCTGTCCTGCCCACCCACCCTATGTTGCTCCGTTCCCGCTCGTCTCGTCCTCTCCTCCTCCCGTCCCCTCCTCCCTTGTCCCTTGCTATTGCCCCTCCTCCGTTCTCTGACTACCTTCGTGCCGCTCGTCCCCTTGTCCCTCTGGTCCTTGCCTCTCTTGTTACCGACCCTGCTGTTCCTTTCTCGCGGCTTGACGCGCTTGTCGCTGCTGTCGCTGACTTTGCCTCTACCCGCCGACTTGACTACGCTACCGCTCTGGTCTCTGACCCTGCCCGTCCTCCGTCCGTAGGGGGTGCTACTGCCCTTGGCAGTGACGTCCTAGAGGACAGGCAGTACAAGCTTGCTTTGCTTTCTGAGGCTGCTCCCCATCTCTGCTCCATGCTGTTCGTCCCTGAGGGTGACCCACACGCCTTCGACATCCTGACCCCTCGCACCTACGCTGAGGCCACCTCGGGACCTTGGGCCTCTCAGTGGATAGCTGCCATGGAGCAGGAGATGGCATCTTGGAGGTCCACCGGCACTTACGTCGACGCAGTTCCCCCGCCTGGGGTGAACGTAGTTGATGGTCGGTGGCTCTTCAAGGTGAAGCGCCCCCCTGGAGAGCCGCCTGTCTTCAAGGCGCGCTACGTGGCCAGAGGTTTCAGTCAGCCCGAAGGGGGTTGACTTCTTACAGACCTTCGCCCCGACCCCGAAGATGACCACTCTTCGGGCGCTGCTACACGTAGCAGCACAGCGCGACTACGAGCTTCACTCCCTCGACTTCTCTACTGCCTTTCTTCAGGGCAGTCTACAAGAGCAGGTCTACCTGCGCCGACCACAGGGTTTCACTAGTACCTTCCCTCCTGGGACCCAGTGGCTTTGCAGGCGCCCGGTCTATGGCCTGTGTCAGGCTCCTCGCGAGTGGCACGACATGCTGCGGGCCACGTTAGCAAACCTGCAGTTCTTTCCGTCCTCTGCTGACCCCTCGCTGTTTGTGCGTTTTGGCCAGACTCCGTTCTATATCCTTGTCTACGTAGGCGATCTGGTCTTCGCTACTGCTGACAGGGACGCACTGGCCTCTGTAAAGGCCGAGCTGCTGAAGAGACACACCTGCACTGACCTTGGAGAGCTGCGTCGCTATCTTGGCCTGCAGATCTCTGGGGACAGAGCAGCACGCACCATCACTCTGACACAGTCACACTTGGTGCGTCAGGTCCTTCAGAGGTTCGGTCTTCAGTTCTCCTCCGCATAGCCCACACCTCTACCTGTAGACCATGGGCTCTCCGCTCGAGTTCCTGAGGAGCCTGTAGAGCCCAGTGGCCCCTACGCAAAGCTGGTGGGTTGTCTCATGTACCTGATGACTTGCACTCGCCCAGATCTCACATACCCTCTCAGCATCTTGGCTCGCTTTGTGGCTACAGGCAGACACCGACCTCAGCACTGGTCTGCCGCTAAGAGGGTTTTGCGTTATCTTGCTAGTACATCAGGCATGGGATTAGTGCTAGGAGGACGCAGGCCAGTGGTCCTTACTGGACACATAGACGCTTCTTGGGCAGACGACTCTGAGACGCTCAGGTCATCGCAGGGCTACTGCTTTAGCCTTGGTTCGGGTGCTATCTCTTGGAGATCCACTCGCTTGTCGTCTGTGGCTCAGTCCAGCTGTGAGGCTGAGATCTACGCTGGTGCCATGGCGGCACAGGAGCTTTGCTGGCAGACCTTTTTGCTCACAGACTTAGGTGAGCGGCCTAGCTCTGCCCCGGTCCTGTACGCTGACAACAGGGCCATGATACTCCTATGTCAGGAGCCTCGGCTTGAGGGCAGAGCGAAGCATATTCAGCTGCGGTACTTCCTCCTGCGCGAGCTACAGTAGCGCCGCCAGGCCCGCGTAGTTCACTTGGCCTCAGGTGCCAACACAGCTGATATCTTTACTAAGGCGCTTACGCCTAAAGATCATCAGCGGCACTGTGTACAGCTTGGTCTTGTTCTTGTAGCTACTCACCTGTTAGGATCATGATTGTGTACTCTCTATTATATATGCCTGTCAGACTGGCCTTGTGGCCTTACCTCCAGTGGCTGGACTAGTAGTGCTGCCCTTGCTTGCTTTAGTCTTGTTTGTACCCTTGCTGACTGGTCTCCAGACCGCTACCTCAGTGGTTGGACTAGTAGTGCCACCCTGAGCTGTTTGCTTCTTGCTTAGCTTCACCCCTTGTCTAGCCTAGGGTGTGTGTCAACTTATACATGTTAGCCGTGTACAAGTTATAAGCTAGACTGAGGTATGCTTCTAGGGAGTACAACCAGCTAGTACTTGTTCTAGGTTTCCACTTCTAGTTCTATCATTCAGTTCTTACTTTGACATGGTATCTCGCGTAGGTTAGCATCCCCCACCTACCGCTTCCACCTGTACCCTAGCTAGGCCCCGCCGCTTCCCTTGGGCCCCGTCGCTTACTTTGACAAGCGGGTCTACGGCGGTGACGCCAGTTAGCGAGCCGCCCTGGCTGGCGAGCTGGTTGGCATGCGGGCGTGCTGGCTGGGGCTAATCCAGTGCTCTGGCCGCTGCCGTCCGTGCGCTGGCACATCGAAGCCACCACAGCAGCGCAACGAGGCTGCCACGGCAGCGCGTCGAGGCCGCTACGGCAGCGCATCGAGGCTGCCATTGCAGCGCGACGAGGCCGCCACAGCGGAGCGAACGTGAGAGGAGAGGAGAGAGTGCGCTGCGGAAGCGTGAGGAGAAGGGTCCAGCAGGATAAACCTGCCCTGAACCCATGTTAGAAGGTGGGTTTAGCTAGGAAGGAAAAAGTAGCGAGAGAAAAGAGAGTTGCACTAGTGAAGAGAGAGAGAGAGAGATACAAGGAGTGGATTGTCCTCTCTATAGTAAGAACCAGAACTTGTAGTGCACCGACCTAGCCTACTCACATATATGTACTAAAAATATATATATATTTATATATATATTTATATATATATTTATATATATGCGTTGACACTTGGGGATGGTTGCTCACGAATCCCTATGCCACGAGCGCTTACTGCGGGGCAGTGAAACGCGTTTCTGGCCACACATATGTGATGCCCGCAACCAAATGCTGTTATGTAAAGCGTGATGGTTCAGCTAACACGTTCTCCATTAATTATCTATATTTCAACTTCTCTTCAGTACTTATTCGCTTCAATCTTGATACTTCGTGGCCTGTTACGATTTTATCACAGTGGCGCCAAGGGGTGCTTAAAGCGAGGATCTCAAGAAGCGCGAAACCAAATCCTTTAGGTTTGGTTTTGTGTTGACGAAATTAGCGAAGCAGTAACAAGGCCCAACCAGCACCCCTCCCCACACCTCGCAATTTTTGAGACCCCCCGAAACCAAACCTTAGGGTTTGGTTTTTTGCTTCTTGAGACACTCGCTTTAACAGGGCTAATTTTTCGTTTTACGGGACCCAGAAGGCACAGGATGCCTCAGATAAGATCCTGGAAAATCCCTCTGTTTTCCAGGATTTCCTTGAGGGCCACATATTCCCTGGTTTACAATGGTAGGAGGTTTGGCGAGAAGCATCTTAGCGGATGAATTTAGCGGATCACGAAGGTTCACAAGTAGTGAATCGAATCAGGCACATCCTGGTTTGAGGGTGGGAGAACCATATCATTGGAGAGGCTTTTAGTAGCAGCTGAGGGGCGCCTGTCACAGGATAGTTTCCGGACCTCTACGGAAAGCTCTGGGTCCAGGAGAAAACGTCCGGAAATGGTTAGGAGGTTTGTGAGACCAACCCTTTCAAAATTTGGTTTCCATCCCAAAACACCCGGAATGTACCTGACATTCCGGATGTTTACCCTTGAACCGAGAGCCCTGGTGCTCGAACCCTAACCCAAATTCGTCATGGTACTTTTCGTTTATCCGATAGGCTTATAGCAAGGAACTCGTCGGCAAAGTGGGTGACGCAGCGGATGGGGGCAGTGTGGTTCAAGCAGTGAGCGCTAATGGCGCGGGTGGGGGAAGCGGAACCCGAGGGGGAGGGGGAAGCGCTATTGGCGGAGAAATGGCGGGCGGCGGAGAGATCCGCGGCAACGAAACGGGGTGAAGTTAGAGAAGTGGACGAATTTAGCGGCAGCGAAGCGCTACTATCGCGGATGTGTAACGGCGAAATGACGAGCGATGGGGCAGTTGGCCGTATGGAGAAAGGAGGGACAAGCAATATCGAGTCCCGGGACGGACAGGAGACGGTAGTGGGGAGACGAGGCACTGCGCGGACGCGGGAGGTGACGACATCAGGGCAAGGCGTGCCACGTGGCGTCGTCATATTGGTCGTCGTGTTCCTAGATCTCTTTGCTGTGGGGATGGCCATGCCGCTAGTCACGCCGCTTATTAAGGAGCTCGGTACGGTTCGCAAATGAAATCAGGCCTATCTACTGCCAGTAGCAGTATCAGGACTAGCAGTGCCAGACCTCGACTTTTCAATGGCTTTTCAATGGCATGTCGAAGTGTCGACCGAGCATTGACAGTCGAGCAATCTCTGGTAGCCTTTCGTCGAGAAGAGCATTCGAGAGGGTGCTCTGCCGTAGATGGTCCAACATTCTCTCTTGCCCCTCTTGCTGATGACCCACCCTGCCCCTGAACCCTCTGTCCGCGTTAGGAGCGTCCCCGTTACAGGTCGGCTTCCTCTCATCCACCTACGGCATTGTCCAACTCGTTACTGGGCCCTTCTTCGTAAGCAAACCTCCTCTTCTGCACTCCGCTCCTTCTCTTGTGCTCTCATTCTTACTGGTGGGTAAGGTGCCTCGCTTGCTGGTCCAACTTCCACTCCCAGGCTCCCCCCCGTTTTCTCCTCCCCACTCTTCCCAATCTTCTCGCCCCCTTCTCTCGGGGTCTGCTAGTAGTTGACTGCATGGAGCGGCAGTTTGTGATTCGAGCTGCTCTTTCCCCTCGCCCCTCCCCCCTCCATGCCCTGGAGGCGCCTCACAACGCCATCTTTCCTTTCCCCTCGTCCCTCCCCCTACGCGCTCAACACTGTCCCCCAGTGACCGCATGGGTCTTCGGTTTGTGATTCTGCTGGCGTATGCTGGGGCGAGCTACTTGCTGCTGCTAGTCAATTGAGCCGTGACCCTGTGCCCCAAAGCCGCGTCCCTCTCCGCTGTCCTTCCATCCCTGCCTCTCAGGGCCTATTGAGTGACCGCATGGGCCGGCGGTTTGTGATTCTGGCGGCGTATGCTGGGGCGAGCTACTTGCTGCTAGTGGTTTGAGCCGTGACCCCCTCTGCCCACAACCCGCGTCACCCTCTCCGCTGTCCTCCCATCCCTGCCTCTCAGGGCCTATTGAGTGACCGCATGGGGCGCCGGTTTGTGATTCTGGTGGCGTATGCTGGGGCGGGGGCGAGCTACCTGCTGCTGGGGCAGAGCACGACTGTGACGGTGAGGGAGAGAAAAGAGACGCACCAAGGGAGATTGGGAAGACGGAAGCCATTCGTCCTTCATCATCTCACCCTTCACGTGGTCTCTTCCACCAATGGGCATGCAGCATCTTGCCATGGTTCCCTAAACGGAGGCATCTTGCCAATGCCCGTGTGGTCGCCTGCTCTATATCCCGTCCATCTGTATTCTATTATTCGCCTGCTCTCCATTGCTTCTCCCCTATCTCTCCGTTTCTTCTCCCCTATCTCTCCCAAGGTCCAAAAAAACGGCATCCGTATTAAACGATCCGATTTAAACGGCCGTTTTTTACGGTGGGTTTTGGTTAAAAACGACGTTTTTTTGTTAGACCTTCCTCCATGGTTTTTTTTTTTAAGTGGCCTGATCGCTAATGCTCACTGATGTGGAGCTGCTCGATGTTTGTACCTGAGCTTTGAAAGGGATCACATCCCATTTTGTTGAGAGGGATGGACCCCGAGATGACGTGATTGGTTGCGCAAAATCACAAATCTAGAATCGCATGTTCTCAAATGTTCGCCCGACCGCGCGATGCTCGAATCAGAGGAGCAGCATGGCGCGAAAAAGGGCTGACAAAATTTGCGAAACGGACTCGCGCTCTGCTCTGGGCTCCAAAAATTTTGGATGCATGCGCTTCGAGAATTTGTCAGCTCGCAGCTCGGCTAAAAGTTGAACGACTGCGCGACTGACAAATGTTGAACACTGCGTTATTAGCTCGGCCAAAAACAATGTACACCGTATTATACGGTGGAACAAAAAAAAAGGTCGTATAAAACGGCTGTTTTTTTGCACCAAATGCAAAATGCAATTTTCGACTGTACTAGTCGTATTATACGACCGTTTTATACGATCCCGTTTAATGCGGCGAAAAAAGGTACAAAAAAAACGCCTTTTTTTTGCACCTTGATCTCTCCATTGCTTGTCTCCCACATCCTCCTGAGCCTCACCAACCCAAGGTGAATGTGAAGGCATACGAGGCAGACCAGCCTCCTCCCTGCCTTGTTCCTCTCTCCGCTCCCCCTCCCTCCCTGCAGTCAGTAGCTATCTCCCGCGTGCTCCTGGTTCTCGCTAGCATGAATGATTGCAGTCAAGACTCAAGGCTTGTGTGGCTCTTACCCCCCTCCCCTCCTCGCCCCCCTTTCTGCCATCCTCGGTTCCTCCCCCCTCCTTCAAATGGTTCTTATCTCCCGCGTGCTCCTGGGCTTCACCAAGCACAGCATGAACGCAGTCAAGTCAGGGCATACATGGGTATGACCTCCTCCCCTCGCCGCCCCTCCTCCACGCCTCTGTGCCTTCCCTTCCCCTCAGATGGTGGTTGTCTCCCGCGTGCTCCTGGGCCTCACCAAGCACAGCATGAACGCAGTCAAGGCATACGTGGCAGATCACACCACGGCCAGCAACCGAGCAGTCGAACTGGGGAGGTATGGTGGGATTAACATGGCAATTATCACCCCGTCCCCGCCCCCCTCTCCCAGACCCCCCTCTCCCCTCCTCATCCCACTGCATTTGTTCGTGGCACGTCTGATTGGCATAGGCGGGTGTGAGACCACAGGAATGATCACGGCATGAGTAGACATGCATGGGTGGCGTGGCGGTCAAGTGCAGTGAAGGCGTATCTGGCGGATCACACAAATGCGAGAAACCGAGCAGTGGAGCTGGGGGGCTGCGGTTTAGTTGTGTGATGGACATGGGTGTGCAGCTATATGCATGCATGGCCATGGCATGGTATATCCATATAGGCAAGGTTCAAAAATACGGTTTTCGAAAAATACGGTCCGTTAGTCGACCGATTTTTTTCGGGGATTTTGGGAAATAACGCCGTTTTTTAAATAGAGCATCTTTTTTTTTTTTTTTTTTTTTTTGGTAGACAGCCTAATCATCCATTAGATCCTTAGTTGCTACAAACGCTCTCTGGGATATTTTTCGGGCTGCCCCCCCAAAAAAAACACGAGATTGTCGTTGGAGAATAGCATTAAGGATAGGTTATTTACATGACATATGAGGATGCTGGCTTAAATGTTAAGCACGGTTCTTTTTTATGAGACAAAATGCTTCCTGGTAGAACCCCCATGTTTCCCCCCTCCCCCACAAGAATCTTGAACCCCTGCCCGGGTAAAAATTTTACCCCTGCCCGGGCAAGCGTTTGCCTAGCGTTCACATACACACTGCCGAGCGTTTAGCGTTCAAACGCTAGCGTTTAAACGCTAGCGTTCAAACGCCAAACGCGTTTGTAGCAACTAAGATTAGATCCGCGCCTTTCGTCCGCCCAAATGTGAGATCCGCGCATTTCGACGGGCGAAATGCTAGATCTGCGTACTTCGGCTGACGAAACGCCAGATCCCTGCATTTCGTCTACCAAAAACGCAAGATCTGGCACATTTTGGCGGGCAAAATGCCAGATCCGTGCATTTCAGCGGGCGGATTGCCAGATCCACGCATCTTTCCAGATTGTTTTGCACATTTTTTGAAAAATTCGGCCGTTTTTTTTAACCAATCTATTTTTGCACAATTTTCACCGTTTTTTTCGTATTAAACGGCCGCTAAATTCGATACCGTTTTATGCGGGATTTTTTTGAAAAAAACGGCGTATTTTTATCCTTGCATATAGGTGTGGGTGGGTGGGTGTGGGTGTGGGTGTGGGTGTGGGTGTTGTGTGGGTGGCGTGGCGGTCGTGTGCAGTCAAGGCGTATGTGTGTTGGAGATAGGCTGCAATTCGGTTGGCACAACTTGGTGTGTTAGTAATTTGTTGGTTTTAGGGTTAGGCATATTTGTTAGGTTGGGTGTAGCCGTGTTTTCATCCCCAACCTATCCCAACCCAATCCATCCCAAATCCCCACGATTTGGGAGGATTCCCTTGGGATTCCCTCCGATTCTCCCTTATCCCTTCCCATCCTCTCCAATGCTCGGTACTTAGGTTGTATGCTCTTGCTCAATCAATCAATCAAGTTCTCAGTTTCTGACAATGTGGCAGATCACACCAATGCAAGGAACCGAGCAGTGGACCTTGGCAGGTATGGTAGGAGGGAACTGGCAATGGTGACCCACACAACACCCCCCCCATCCCTCCTCTCCTCACTGCTCTTTTAGTCCGCTCAAAGAGTCCACTGATATCCGTCAGTCCCTGTTCCAGCATGCCGGACAGCAGTGGAGGCAACTTGGTTGCACGTTTCTGCTGCAGTGTGCCACCTCCCGACATCAGGCCGGCTCGGGGTGTTGTCGTTGCTTTGAGGCAACTGATTGCCTGCCCTCCAGGTGTCAGGTCTTCGTATGGAACCTAGTTACGTATCTAGTTACGTACCTAGTTACGTACCCACAACCACAAGACTATACCAAGGTACCGGCAGAGGCTAATTGCTTCAAAGGAACTAGTTACGTTGTGCTCGTGCCCGCCTAGCCCTCCTGCCCGCCTAGCCCTCCTGCCCAGCCCATCTCGCCACTTCCATGGAATGGCAGCAGCACCCCCTGCTTGAGTCGAGAAGAGTCACTCTATTCTTGAGACCATGGTCATTGCAGCCACGCTTCAGTGGCCTCACCTCCCTTCCCCCCCTTTTCATTCTCTGCCTCACTGTTCCCCGCATCCCTGTCTGTCACCCCACTCCAACAGCTCACCCGTCCAGGTCTCCAACAGCCCCCCTCCCTTTCCGTTCCCCTGCTCACCTCACTCTGCAGTCGCCTCAACCCCTGCCTTTCCATTCTCTGCCTCTCCGCCACCCCGCGCCGCGCCGCGCCGCGCCTTTCCATTCCTGGCGGCCACCCCACCCCACTCATCCAGGATGGCGGCAGCATCAGCGCTGGGCATTATGGTCGGGCGGCGGGCCTGCTGTATCCTCTGAGTCAACTCTTAGACCTTTCCGTTCCCCTGCACACCTCACTCTCTCATGGCCCCCCTTTCACCCCACCCATCCAGGATGGCGACTGCATCAGCGTTGGGCATTATGGTCGGGCCCGCTGTGGGCGGGATGCTATTTAAGGTGAGTCTTTCTAATCGGGAGCGGGCTTTGCTTGGCAACCCGTCCCTTACTGAAGATATCCTATTGCATCTGTGGCCTGTTTTTGCCGAGGATGCATTTAACCTCGAAATTCTTGATGAAGTGTTTGCAGAAGTTGCTTTCATTTTCCACAAGAAATGTTTATACAGGTCAGCGCCAAATAGGGAAGGAAAGATAAGGGGGCGACTTGAATTCAGATGACCAACCCTCATTGGTCTTTCCTGAGTCTTTCTTTCTGTCTTGACTTTCTTGCTTCCCGGTTCTAGGGTCTGTTTCCGATGTAAGTTGCGCATCTCCCCCCGTCATTTCTCCTCTTTTATCCTCTTCTCCCATTTCATCCCTCCCCTCCCATCGTCTCCCCTGTTGATTCCCCCTTCCCCCTCCCTGCCCCCCAGGCAGTTATCCCCTCCCCACAGCAGCAGCAGCCCTGCTGTATGCAATAAACTTCCCAGTAAGGTGTCTCCTTCCCCACCATCCCACTGCTCTTGTCTTCCCCGTCACTCCTCTGCCCCGCCTCCTCCCACCGCCTCTCTCCCCCCCTGGCCCCCAGGCAGGCAGTTATCCCCTCCCCACAGCAGCAGCAGCCCTGCTGTACGCCATAAACTCATTCGTTATTGTCACACGGCTGCAAGCACAGAGACCCGCCGCCGACTCAGCACCAGGCCCTGCCTTGAGAAAGCGAGGGCTTTCGTTGCAAGGGCTCCTTCCCAATGTAAGCAGCTCTTGGTGGCTCCACAGCACATGAGCACACCCTTGCTACCAGCACATGAACACACCCTTGCTACCAGCGCATGAGCACACCCTTGCTGCCAGCGCATGAGCACACCCTTGCTACCAGCGCATGAGCACACCCTTGCTACCAGCGCATGAGCACACCCTGGCTTGTCCCCTCCCCGGCTGGCTCCATCCTTTCGTTGCAAGGGCTCCTTCTCAATGTAAGCAGCTCTTGACTAAACTGGGGACGCTGGGCACTTGTCCGCGCGCCCCATGATTCTCCCCTTGCCGTCCCAGCTGTACCTCCATATCTCCACTGAAATGATTGCCCTCCTCCTCCTCCTTCCGCTCACACAGAAATTCTTTCAGCACTGGCTTCAAGCGTACGTCCCCAGAGATCCAGCCCCCTGTACAATTGCTGCCACCTGGGCTGGGCTTCCCCCCCCTGTCCCCGAAACCCCTTTTTTCAGGCAGATTCAGAGATGGGGTTCTCGGAGCCCCTCCTCTTACTTAGCCTTTGCCATTTGGCTTCCACCTGACCCCTGAGTTCCACCTGACCCCTGGCTTCCACCTGACCCCTGGCTTCCACCTGACCCCTGACTTCCACCTGACCCCTGACTTCCACACCCCTAAATCTCTGTCTCCCAAGCACTCGAGGTAATGGATTCATGGGAACCTCCTCCCTTTCTTTCCCCTTGTCCCTTTCCTCGCTTCAGCTTGCCCTAGAGTCAACCCAAATATCTCTTACTCAGGCTCCGGTTAAAAGATTCTTTTTGCCCCTTCTTCCCTTCGATTCGATTTTAGCGGACGCTCCTTTCCTTTCCTTCGATTCGATTGCCATACTGACTCAAGCTTTCTTCCCTTACCCCCTTCCCCCCTCTAGGCCGCTACATTAGCTCGTCCCCGGCCCGCACTGCCATGAGTGCTCACCCGAACCCCCCTCACCCTCTGCCATGAAGGTGGCAGCACTCATGGCAGTGCGGGCTGCGCATAGCCTTTCCTGGCCTCTCCCTCCCGCCGTCCCTCCAGATCGCCATAATAACTCGCCTAGGGTGGCAACTCTGGTCTGCCCGTGCCTGCGTCTCTTCCGCCAGGGCTTCTCGCTTCAAGTGCGGTGCGAGTGAACCAATCTTCTCTTGCTCTTCCTCCCCTCCCCTTGACCCCCCCCCGTCCCCCTTTTGCCTGCCCCCTCCCCCCTTGCAGGTCGCCATACTGACTCGTCCCCGCGTGGCGGCACTCATGGCAGTGCGGGCAGTGCTAGGCCTCTCTGTGCATCTCTTCCGCCAGGGCTTCTCCCTGCTCCTCATCTACAGGCTGAATCTATCTGTGCAGACCAACGGGCTGCTGCTGTCGCTGCAGGTGAGACTCAATCACGGCGGTGTGGTGAGTCCAGGCCTTGCAAGTGACTTCTCGGCTCGCAGTGAATCGGCTTCTCCCTGCTCCTCATCTACCGATTCAACCCCTCAGTGCAGACCAACGGGCTGCTGCTCTCTCTGCAATAATCCCCGAGTGTGATGTGCCGGTAATCCTGCTCCTTGCAAGTACCTTCAGGTCTCTTTTGAGGCGCCTCAAAAGGTGCATCTCTTCCGCTTGCATCTTTTCCACCAGGGCTTTTGAGTCGACTCAAAAGTCACCTTGCATCTTTTCCACCAGGGCTTCTCGCATCCAATCATCTGCCGACTGAATCTGTCTGTCCAGACTGGACATGGGCACGTGGCAGTATTACCAACTAAACATCTGCTTCATGCAATTTTGACGTCTCAAGCCCTAGACTCTCCACCCCTCTTTTCCCTCTCCCTCAAACTCCTTCCCCCTTCATCACACTCCGTGTCTGACCTCCCATAGCATAGCATCATCCATGCGCCCCCTTCCCATCATCCATCCGCCCCTTTCCCATTTTGACCACTTCCAGGTTCTCCTCACCTCGCTGATTCAAGGCATGGCCATCCGCCCCTTGCTGCATTGCTCATAAGACGCCTTCGTCGGCCCTTTTCCCTTCCAATTTCTCCCCACCTCGCTTTGTATGTCCCCCTCTTAGGGTCTCCTCACCTCGCTGGTGCAAGGCCTCGCCATCCGCCCCTTGCTGCGTCGCTTCCAAGAACCCCCTCTTATTTTCCGCGGCCTGCTGCTGCTCTCCCTCACCCTCGCCCTCCTTGCCGCTGCTCCAAGCCTTGTAAGCAGATCCGTACCGTGCGCTCTGCCTCCCCCTCTCCAACCCCACCTCTCCTCACCACAGAACGTGCTTTTCTGAATCCATTCTCTCCTTGTCCCTTGTCATAGCCCACGTTTCTCCATAAAGCTGCACATGTTCCCTGTTCTCTTTTCATTCTGTTCTTCTTTGAATATCTTCCCCTCCCCTTCCAACTCCCCTGCCCCTCAGCCGTTCCTGGTGCTCCTACTACCCCCTCTCGCCCTCTCAACTGGCGTTCTCCGCACCACTTACACCGCCCTCCTCACCACCTCTGTTGCCCAAACCGAGGTAAATAGCTCATTATCTGTAGCGCAGATTACTCGTCACCACACACACCACCGTCCCCTCACACATTCACTGCCCTCCTCACCACCTCTGTTGCCCAAACCGAGGTGAGGAAGCTCATTATCTGTAGGGCAACTAGCACCACAACCACCACCCTTCCCACCGAACATGCACTGCGCTCCACTCACAACCCACCACCTCTGCTGACGCTGTCAGGTCTGCAACGTGACCCTCCCTCTTGCCCTTGTGCAACGTGATGCTAGTTGCTCTTACCTTCCCCTCTTGCCCTCGTTTCTCCCCTCTCCCCTGGTTCCTCATCCTCTGAGTTGTGGTTTTGAGAATTCTCAAAAATCATCCTCTTCCCTTCTACCCCAGGTAGGGCACCTGCTGGGTCTGTCAGACGCCATCATTACTGCCAAGAGACGTTGATTCTCTACCCCCCCCCTCCCCCTTCCGTTTTTCCCCTTCCCCCAACCCACTCCCCTTTCTTTTTCCCAGGTGGGTCAGCTGCCGGGTCTATCAGACGCCATCGTGTCTGCCTGCAGAGCGCCCAGTCACTGGGCAGCATGACCTCCTACGTGCCCTCACCACCCCTCTCCCCCGGTTTCTCCTCCTCTCATCATGTCTGCCGGCAGTGTGCTCGTTGGTTCAACTTAAGCCGTGCATTCGGCTCTCTCCCAGTCTCCCTCTGTCCTGTCCCCCTACAATCCAATCCCCACCCTCCCAGGCAGGGCACCTGTTGGGTCTGTCAGACGCCATCATGACTGCGTGCCCAATGCTCCGGCCCTGTCTTACCCATGCCAAGACCCTCCCTACTACCCTGTCCCCTTCTTCTCCCCCTCCCTCCCTCCCAGGTGGGTCAGCTGCCGGGTCTGTCAGTCGCCATTATGTCTGCCTGCAGAGTACTCGGCCCCTCTTCGACATGATGCCCTCGTCCTCCCCACTTTCCCTCTTTCCTCCTTCCCTTCTTCCTAACCCAGGTGGGTCAGCTGCTGGGTCTATCAGACGCCATCATGTCTGCCTGCAGAGTGCTCGGTCCCTCTACTGCTGGCCTCCTCTCGTCCCAATTCGGCTACCACGCCCCTGTCGCGATAAGGTAATGGCATCAGCATGTGCATATTTCCGCGAGTTTCTGTTTTGCTTGGGGTTGTGGGCATGAGGCGTCTCTTAGCCAAACCGGTCCCTCTGCTGCCAGCCTCCGCTCTTCCCAATTCAGCTACCATGCCCCTGTCGCTTTAAGTTTTTGGTGCCATGTTCCTTAAAACCGGAGCTGCAGTTTTTTACACTGGAAGAGAAGCTGTGTCGGTTGCTCATGGTTAAGTACTCGGTTGGTGGTTGCACGGTGTGAGTGTCATCTGCTGCTGTTTCCTTCGCACCTTGCCCATCCCTCCGCCCCTCTCCCCACTTTCGTTCTTTCCTCTGCAGCGCAATCATTGCCGCCATTGCTGCTCTCCTCTTCCACCTCCTTGTGGTGAACCGCCATCGTCCCGCCTCGGCAGCTTCAGGGATTTCCTCGAAAGGACATTTGGCATAGTAGTTGAGCAATCAATCAGCATTTCCACTAAAAACTACTCGATAGGGCTCCCGACGCAAGGCTTTACTCTAAAGAAAGCCTGTTCAAATTTGTATCTCCTGTAAATTTTACTCCCCAGTAGCTTGTCTTATCTCTCAACTAGGAGTGGTTGCAACAGTGCAAGCAACTTAGTGCGGCACTGCTGAAGTGTAGCTCACATAAGAAATTGTGGATGAACATGGAGTATCAGTTGAAGCACAAAAATGAGGAATGTTGAATATCGAACAGTGTAGAGCTTGTGTTCATAGCGACCACATTCCAAGTCATAGAGATATTGCAATGTAGCGTTGTGAATAAGATTATCGTAATCCCCAGCATAGTGCAACCCCCAAAATTGAACACTCACCGGGTGTTTAATTCCGGTGGGTGTTATCCAAGTTTCCCCACTTAGTCTCAAAGTAATGAATTGAGTATGATGAAGGGATACAAGGGGATATAAGCTAAGGTGTTGTACTCTCCATAAGCATGCACCTATCTAGCCTGTAACATATACAATTATATGTTGACACACCCCCTAGGCTAGACAAGTGGCAATGACTAGCACAAGACACGCAGCTCTGCGTCCTCCTAGCACTAGCCCCATACCCGATGTACTTGCTAGATAACGCAAAACCCTCTTAGCGACCGACCAGTGTTGTGGTCGGTGTCTGCCTGTGGACACAAAGCGAGCCATGATGCTGAGAGGGTATGCGAGATCAGGACGAGTGCAAGTCATCAGGTACCTGTGGTCTACTGGCAGAGGTGTGGGTGTCAAACATGTGTATTCGTTATGTTTGCATAGACTGTATAGGGTCACCTCTTAGAGGGTACAATACTTAGGTATATCTATCTGTACTCTCCCTCTACCCAACATTCACTTCTCTCAGTTTGATATGGTATCACCCGTAGGTTAGGATCCCCCCCCACCTACCGCTTCCGCTCGTCCCCTAGCTAGGCCCCGCCGTGCCTCCCCCCTAGCCCCGTCGCGACCCACTGGGCCCCGTCGTGCCCCTAGCCCTGCCGCGCCCCTCCTGGGCCCCGTTGCGACCCCCTGGGCCCCGTCGCGACCCCCTAGCCCCGTTGCGACCCTCCCGGGCCTTGCTGCGCCCCTCGCCCCGTAGTGCCCCTCCTGGGCCACGTAGCGCCCCTCCTGGGCCCCGTCGCGCCCCTCCTGGGCCCCGTCGCGCCCCTCCTGGGCCCCTCCTGGGCCCCGTAGTGCCCCTCCTGGACCCCGTCGCGCCCCTCCTGGGCCCCTCCTGGGCCCCGTAGTGCCCCTCCTGGGCCCCGTAGCGCCCCTCCTGGGCCCCGTCGCGCCCCTCCTGGGCCCCGTAGTGCCCCTCCTGGGCCCCGTAACGCCCCTCCTGGGCCCCGTAGCGCCCCTCCTGGGCCCCGTCGCGCCCCTCCTGGGCCCCTCCTGGGCCCCGTAGTGCCCCTCCTGGGCCCCGTAACGCCCCTCTTGGGCCCCGTAACGCCCCTCCTGGGCCCCGTCAAGCCTTCAGGCCCCGTCGCGCCCTGACCGGCCCCGTTGCCCCCTGCCCGGCTCCGTCGCACCTGCCCGGCCCCGTCGCACCCGCCCGGCCCCGTCGCACAGACCCGGCCCCGTCGCACCAGCCCGGCCCCGTCGCACCCGCCCGGCCCCGTCGCGCCCGCTCAGCCCCGTCGCACCCGCCCGGCCCCGTCGCGCCCGCCCGGCCCCGTCGCACTCGCCCGGCCCCGTCGCACCCGCCCGGCCCCGTTGCACCGGCCCGGCCCCGTCGCACCCGCCCGGCCCCGTTGCGCCCTGCCTGGCCCTGCCGCGTCTGCCGGCCCCGCTGCACCGGCCCGGCCCCTGCGCTCATCCCTGCCCCGGCCCCTCCCTCCTCACTGGTATGGTTCCCCCCCCCCCCCCCCCCCCCCCCCTCCCTGCATCGCCCTGCTCCGCACTGCACTGCCCTGCACCGCACTGCACCGCCCTGCACCGCCCAGCACCGCACTGCCCTGCCTTGCCGCCGCTGCAGCCGCCGTTGTCGCTGCCGCCGCAGCTGCCGCCGCCGCCGCCGTCGCAGCACCCGTTCGCTGACTCTGGGGGTGCTCGTCCAGGTCGCCCTGGGGTGGTCCCTCTGGGGGTGCTGGTGTGGAGTGTGTCGGTGGTAGCCGAGGAGCAGCTTGCGGTCCAGGTGTCGCCGTTGTGCCGCCGCAGCAGCAGTCCCCGCCGGTGTCAGCCCTTCGCCTGCTCGGCCTTCGACCCCCGACCCTGCGTCTGTTCCTCTCCGACCGTCTCCTCCTCTTCCCGTCTACGGCCCTGTGTTCCCTCCGCCGGACTCGTCCCCGGCCCGTCTTCCCCCTCGTTCCCCTCCTGTGTCCCCTCCCCTGTCTCCGGACCCAACTCCTCCGTCGCACGTCTGGTCTCACCGTCCCTCCCATGCTCGTCCTGCCTCGCCTGTCTTGCGCTCCCACCCTATGCTTCTTCGTTCCCATGCGTCTCGTCCTCCCCTTCTGCCGTCGCCTCCTCTGTCCTCCCTTGTTGCACCCCCCCCGCTGTCTGACTTCCTTCGTGCCGCTCGTCCTCTTGTTCCTCGGGTCCTTGCCTCTCTCGTTACTGACCCGTCTGTTCCGGTCTCGTGCCTTGACGCTCTTGTCGCTGCGGTCGCTGACTTCGCCTCTACCCGCCGCCTTGACTACGCCACAGCTCTGGTCTCTGACCCTGTCTGTCCTCCGTCTGTCGGGGGTGCTCCTGCCCTTGGCAGTGACGTCCTGGAGGACCGCCAGTTCGAGCTTGCTTTCCTGTCCGAGGCTCCTCCCCATCTCTGTTCCATGCTGCTAGTCCCTGAGGGTGACCCAGACGCTTTCGACATCCCGACCCCTCGCACTTACGCTAAGGCGACTTCGGGACCCTGGGCCTCGCAGTGGATAGCTGCCATGGAGCAGGAGATGGCATCTTGGAGATCCACCGGCACCTTCGTCGACGCAGTTCCCCCGCCTGGGGTGAACGTAGTCGATGGCCGCTGGCTCTTCAAGGTGAAGCGCCCTCCTGGAGAGCCGCCTGTGTTCAAGGCGCGCTATGTGGCTCGAGGCTTCAGTCAGCGTGAGGGGGTGGACTTCTTCCAGACTTTCGCTCGGACCCCGAAGATGACTACTCTTCGAGTTCTGTTACACCTAGCTGCTCAGCGTGACTACGAGCTTCACTCCCTCGACTTCTCCACTGCCTTCCTTCAGGGCAGCCTACACGAGCAGGTCTACTTGCGTCGCCCTCATGGCTTTACTGGCACCTTTTCTCCTGGGACCCAGTGGCTCCTGCGGCACCCCGTCTACGGCCTGCGCCAGGCTCCCCGTAAGTGGCACGACACTCTCCGTGCTATGCTTGCTGACCTGCAGTTCTTTCCGTCTTCCGCAAACCCCTCACTCTTCGTTCGTTCTGGCCAGACTCCGTTCTACATCCTTGTTTACGTCGACGACCTGGTCTTTGCTACAGCAGACAGGGACGCACTGGCCTCCGTGAAGGCAGAGCTGCTGAAGAGACACACGTGCACTGACCTTGGAGAACTGCGCCGTTACCTTGGCTTGCAGATCTCCAGGGACAGAGCATCGCGCACCATCACCCTGACTCAGTCACACTTGGTGCGCCAGGTCCTTCAGAGGTTCAGCCTTCAGTTCTCCTCTGCACAGCCCACCCCTCTGCCTGTAGACCACAGACTCTCCGCTCCAGTGTCTGAGGAGTCGGTAGAGCCCAGCGGCCCCTACGCAGAGCTGGTGGGTTGCCTCATGTACCTGATGACTTGCACTCGCCCAGATCTCGCATACCCTCTCAGCATCCTGGCTCGCTTTGTGGCCACAGGCAGACACCGACCGCAGCACTGGTCTGCCGCTAAGAGGGTTTTGCGTTATCTTGCTAGTACATCAGGCATGGGGTTAGTGCTAGGAGGACGCAGGCTAGTGGTCCTTACTGGACACACAGACGCTTCGTGTGCAGACGACGCCGAGACACTCAGGTCTTCCCAGGGCTACTGCTTCAGCCTTGGCTCAGGTGCCGTCTCGTGGAGGGCTACCCGCTCCTCGTCTGTTGCCCAGTCTAGCTGTGAGGCTGAGATCTACGCTGGTGCCATGGCGGCACAGGAGCTCCGCTGGCTGACCTTCTTGCTCACAGACTTAGGTGAGCGGCCTAGCTCTGCCCCGGTCCTGTTCGCTGACAACAGGGCCATGATCCTCCTGTGTCAGGAGCCTCGACTCGAAGGCAGAGGGAAGCATATTCAGCTGCGGTACTTCCTCCTGCGTGAGCTACAGTAGCGACGTCAGGCTCGCGTAGTACACTTGGCCTCAGGTGCCAACACAGCTGATATCTTTACGAAGGCGCTTGCGCCTAAAGATCATCAGCGGCACTGTGTACAGCTTGGTCTAGTTCATGTAGCCTCTCACTTGCTAGGGCCTTGACTTTGTACTGTCCTTTATATGTATACTCAGACTGGACTTGTGTCCTCTTCCAGTGGCTGGACTAGTAGTGCTGCCCTGGTCTTGTTCTCGCCTTGCCTGTACTCCTTCTGACTGGTCTCTTAGACCCTTGTCTCAGAGGTCGGACTAGTAGTGCCGCCCTGAGCTGCTTGTTTAGGACATTCCCCTATGCAGTCTAGGGGGTGTGTCAAACATGTGTATTTGTTATGTTTGCATAGACTGTATAGGGTCACCTCTTAGAGGGTACAATACTTAGGTATATCTATCTGTACTCTCCCTCTACCCAACATTCAGTTCTCTCAGTTTGATAGTGGGCTGTGCGGAGGAGAACCGAAGACCGAACCTCTGAAGGACCTGGCGCACCAAGTGTGATTGTGCAAGAGTGATGGTGTGCGCTGCTCTGTCCCTGGAGATCTGCAGGCCAAGGTAGCGGCGCAACTCTCCTGGATTAGTACAGGTGTGTTTCCTCAGCAGCTCAGCCTTCGCGGAGGCTAGTGCGTCTGTGTCTGCAGTAGCGTCCCAGGTGCAAATTCCTTAGCATCATGTTAGCGGTGTTGACAAAACAGATGCCGCTTTCCATCAGCTGACGATGAGAACCTTGTTAAGGTGAAGTGAAAATTTCGTGTCGTCTGATTCTAGCACCACGTCTCCGATTGCAGTTGCTTCAATTGTGTGATGGTTGGCCACAGTGATTTTTATTTTTCTCCTGTTGACAGGTCTCGCTAGTTGAGAAGATAGCGATTTGAAGACGCCATGCGAAGACCATAGCAGCTGTCAAGAAACCACGTATTAACACATACGGGGTACGCGCGC